TCTGCTCCTCCGCCAATGAGAGCGAGAGATCGTGCTTCTGGCGCATTGTCAGCTGCGTCCACATGTCCAGCTTGGAGAGATCGCGCAGTCCCAAGTAGTTTGGCTGCTTTAACTTCTTCACCAACCGACCGCCCTCGTTGATCAGCGTGAACTTCTTGACGTAGTCCCACTTCCACTTCCAGCTGTGCTTCGTGTGCGGTCTCCGGCGGAATTTGGCCAGCGGCAACAGTTCCCCCGTCCCGCCAAATTGATCCACGGTCAGCAGCGTGGGATAGGAAGCGCCGCCAGGTCCCAGCTGGCTGGGTCCGTGCAGCATGATGAGGTCCGGCTTCTGGGATGTGGACGACGACGAAGATGACGTCGCAGAAGACGTGAACAGCCGTCCGTCGAGGTAATTCTGGAGGTTGTGACGCACATTAAAGATCACATCCTTGTAGAACTTGTCATCGAACACTGAGTTGGCGACGGAGGCGGAGGATGAGACGCAGGCCATGCTGGCTGGCAGCCGGAAGACTGCATCCGGATTGACAGCTTCCTGCAGAGCCATAGTTCCACCTGCAGCGGTCTGCTGATGTGACTGCGGCTGTTGATGCTGATTCTGTTGCTGTCGCTGCGCCGCTGCCCGACTGCTACTCCGTGATTTGCTGCTGGGCGTGGCAAGGGGCGGCGGCTCCTCCTCCTTGCGCTGGTTTCGATTCCGATGGCTGGGCAGACGGTTCTGGGTAAGACCGAGTCGAAAGAGCACCGGTTCGTCGGCACCCATCAGACCCGGCTTGGGGACATGGCCATCCTCCGGATGCTGCAGCGGGTGCTGCTGGCGCTGGTGTCCTAACAGGTGATCAGCGTCCTGGAACCGCAGGCGACACGGCTGACAGCCGAAATACTTGTCCGCATGCTGCTCGCTAAGGTGCTGGAACAGCTGCTCCAGATGCTTGGCCGGGAGGCAGATCTGCGGGGGCGTGGCCTGGCGACGATTTCCCTGCTGGCTACACCACTGGCAGCCGGGGAAGCCGCCGGCGGGATGGGAATTAGAGCTGGTGGAACGACCGCTGCAGCGTCGCTCTTGCCGCTCGGTGTGGAACTTGTCCACATGCTTGGCCTGCAGCTTGCCGGAGGTGAACTTCCTATCACAGTACAGACACAGGACCTTCGAGTGCGCGGCTCCACCCATGCCGGCGGCCTCTTCCCGCTCCCGCTCGCGCTCCCTCTCCCGTTCTCGTTCCCGTTCCTCCGTCATCTGATGCAGCTTCTCCACCAAACGCGGCAGCCGCTCCAGCGGCAGGCTGCAGATCAGCGAGAGCGGCTCCGCCACAGACTGATCCTCGTGCGGCTCCACCTCTTCCTGTTCCGCGTCCACATCTTCCTCCTGCCGGGTCTGCCGTTTCTTGCGTGGATTGGGTGCGACAGCGGCCGAGGCTGGGGCCGTTGCCGGTCCAATTGGATTCTTGCCGTTGACCTGCTCCTCCGAGAACTTGAATCCACGGCGCAGGCCGAAGCGCGACATGGTCTTCATGTGGAGGCCACTGGGTCGTCCGTGGTTGCGTTGCACAAGTTAACTGCTTCGCCACTCCTGCAAGCAGTACGTAGCACGCACACTGCTTCGTTCTTCCTTCTTCTTTTTGTTGACAAATAAACCGCAAGAAGCAGCGAAAACAAAAACTACTCGCACACACACACACACGCACACACTCGCACGCACACCTGCTCAATTGGAAATTATACAATAAACATTTTCAGCTCCTCGAATTGATCTCTCTCTCTCTGTTATCAGGATGTATTGTTTTGGCCAACAGCTATAGCATCACTACCACTCCACAACACCACACTTTCCACTTGGATTTCTTGATCTTGACTTGGTCTCTCCTGCCTTTCGATACGTTCCGTTTCGTTTCGTTTTGTTCTGTTTCGTTTCGTTGTATTGCACTGTATTCCGGGATTTCACGAGATTGCTTTCCGTTTTGTTGTTTTGTTCTTTTCGCTGTTTTTCGCTTGGATGAGGACCAGACCAGACCAGGAGCGGTACCGGATCCGTATCAGTGCATTGCATTTAACCACGGCATTGCAGCTCGCCCAGCAGTGTAACGCATTCAATTTTCCCTGGCCGTGCTTTCCACCCTAACAACTGCGTTAGGAGGTATCTAACGTTTAGACCAAATCGATGCGTGCGTACGGCGCAGAGGGGTCGGTGGCGCGGGCGAAGGAGGCGGGGCACGGCAGCAGGACAACGACGACGACGACCACGATACTTTTTGGGAAACGTACTCGGAATCGGAATCGTACTCGGAATCGCACTCGTACTCGTTTTCTTTCCCGTTCTGAAGCTAGCGATATTGGGCAACCGATTTTTCGGCGACGGCGGCGGCATTATCAGCCATCGAATTGTGCTATATAAACAGCAAATTCGATTTCACTGTCCTCCCAGCGCTCGTGTGTGTATATATTTGGTTCGTTCGCACACGCACACACAGCAGCAGGAGCGACCGAAACGTTAAATGTGTGTGTTTTTCTTCTTTTTTTTTCTTATGGGAAATCGAAATCGCGTCAAAATGGTTGGGTTTGCCAGTGTGTACACACTTGTCTCGCTGGCGAGGAAAGTACTCGAACTATCGATAGTTGCGTCTCTAGCAGCAATACTTTGGCATCGTTCTCAGTGAATTACTTATGAAAACTTGTAAATTTATTCATTACCATGCAGACGGCGTGCATTGTTAATCGTTTTTGGTTGTATAACATCTAACAGCAGCTATTGTTCTAATCAGAGCTGGTATATATCGCAAAATTTACAGACAGCTGATTTTTCTCATCACTATTTACAAAAAAAATACTTTTTTGATTTTAGTTGAAAAACATGACTTGTGATTTAGATTTTAATTTATATACAACTCTAGTTCTACAGGTTAAGTGGAGTAATGGAGTTATACGTATTTGGTGTTTTGTCCTCTAAAATCTTATTATCCAATAAATTTCTTATCGAAATTGCATTTATCGAAATAAATATTCAAAATAAGATACTCTTTTCTGCATAAATCAATTGAAAAAGTACCAGATTTTACTATTCGATAAGTAAATGGCCCCATCGATGTCATCTATCATCGATAGATCCCACGAGAATTTATAGCGCCCAGGGCTGCCACCCCGTCGCAGTGCTGTCTTGTTTTTGACGAGTCATTTGTTGGGGACAATACGCTAAAAACGTCTGAAGCGAAGATAGGCATTGCGGAATACAACATAAGAAAAATATATTAAAGGAAACAACATGGACGCACTGATAGCGGAGAAGGTGCGTAGTTGTTGTATCACCGCCTGGACAGGCTACTAATAATTCCTTCTCCCCCAGCACGACGAGCTCTTCGACTTGAAGCCGAAAGATGCGCACAGTTCCCTGGACGAACTGGACATGGAGGATCTCTACGTGCGCTACAAGGTGAGTCGTCCAGTCAAAGGTATTAGAATAACAAGATGCGTAGCGCTATAGAGCTGGCTCCAGGCTCTCCAGGCCACTGTAAGTGTGCCCACGTATGTATGCTCATGTGTTGTAAATTTAACAAAATGGGCAACTTTATAAGTTTATGGACCTTAAATCTAAAAATTATATTTAAAATGGCTCCACAGTGGGAAAACAATGTATGGCCGTTACCTTTATTGTTATTCCAATGTCTTTGGTCCAGTGGCGTTCCGTTTGACCATCCATCTAATCGCCCGTTGTATTGTAGAAACTGCAAAGGACTTTGGAATTCATTGAGGTCCAGGAGGAGTACATCAAGGACGAGCAGCGGAACCTGAAGAAGGAGTACCTGCACGCCCAGGAGGAGGTGAAGCGCATCCAGTCGGTGCCACTGGTCATTGGCCAGTTCCTGGAGGCCGTCGATCAGAACACTGGCATTGTGGGTTCCACCACCGGCTCCAATTACTATGTGCGCATCCTGTCCACCATCGATCGGGAGCTGCTGAAGCCCTCCGCCTCGGTGGCCCTGCACAAGCACAGCAACGCCCTGGTGGACGTGCTGCCGCCAGAGGCGGATAGCTCCATTTCGATGCTGCAGCCGGATGAGAAGCCCGATGTTAGCTATGCGGACATTGGTGGCATGGACATGCAGAAGCAGGAGATCCGTGAGGCAGTCGAACTGCCTCTGACTCACTTCGAGCTGTACAAGCAGATCGGTATTGATCCGCCGCGCGGTGTGCTTATGTACGGTCCGCCAGGATGCGGCAAGACCATGTTGGCCAAGGCGGTCGCCCACCACACAACGGCCTCGTTCATACGCGTGGTCGGCTCGGAGTTCGTGCAGAAGTACCTCGGCGAGGGACCGCGCATGGTGCGCGACGTGTTCAGGCTGGCCAAGGAGAACGCACCGGCCATCATCTTCATTGACGAGATCGACGCCATTGCCACGAAGCGTTTCGATGCGCAGACGGGCGCCGATCGTGAGGTGCAGCGCATCCTGCTCGAGCTGCTCAACCAAATGGACGGCTTCGATCAGACCACCAACGTTAAGGTGATCATGGCCACTAACCGGGCTGACACACTGGATCCCGCTCTGCTGCGACCTGGTCGACTGGATCGTAAGATTGAGTTCCCGCTGCCCGATCGCCGCCAGAAGCGACTCGTCTTCTCCACCATCACTTCAAAGATGAACCTCAGCGAGGACGTCGATTTGGAGGAGTTTGTGGCGCGGCCGGACAAGATATCCGGCGCCGATATCAACGCCATTTGCCAGGAGGCGGGCATGCACGCGGTGCGTGAGAATCGTTACATCGTCTTGGCCAAGGACTTCGAGAAGGGCTACAAGAACAACATCAAGAAGGACGAGCAGGAGCACGAGTTCTACAAATAGATTAGCCACACACTTTTCCTGCCCATTTGTCCCCAACACTAAACTCTTCTTTGTACGCCTAAAGTTATACCATTAATAAAAACATCTTGTATTCGAAGTGCTTAGTTGTCGAAATCCAAAACCAATCCAGTGGGATCAGGCACCCAGGCACCCGCAGGCATAGCATTCAATTTATATCAAGCACTGTATTTGATGCGGTCAAAAGAGTGGATGCAAACAAGGAGCATTGGAAGGATCAGACGGAGGAAGGGAGACGGCTACTTCATCAGGGAGTTGACCACGGCGTTAACGTTGATGGCCTTTAGGTCGGCATACGTTTGACCCGTGCCCACGAACACTATTGGCTGGCCGGTGATGTAGGTCATGGAGATGGCGGCGCCCACCTTGTCGTCGATGGTGTCGAACTTGGTCAGCACGATGCCGTCGATGATGTGCGGGTTCTCGTTGGATGAGTAATCGGCCAGCGATTGGTTGAACTTGACCAACTGGTCGACGGCTTCGTTGCCCACCAGTGCCTCGCCCACGAAGAGCACCAGATCCGGATTGTTCACCTTGATCAGCTTGGACAGCGAACGCATCAGCGGCTCATTGTCCTGCATGCGTCCGGCGGTGTCCACCAGTACGACATCCACCCGTGTATCGTGGGCAAACTTGATGGCCTCCATGGCAATGCCGGCGGCATCCTTGCCGTACCCCTTCTCGTACAGCTGCACCATCGTGCGTCCGTCGTGCTTGGCCGCCGGATGCAGGGCGTTCAGATGGCGGGTGTGTGTGCGGAGCTGCTCGACGGCACCGGCGCGGAACGTATCGCAAGCGGCGATCAGAACGTTAAAATCGTTCTCAATTAGCCAGAAGCAGATCTTGGCCAGGTTGGTGGACTTGCCCACGCCATTAACGCCGCAGAAGATGATCGTGTACGGACGGCCGTTGCGCTTCGATTCGAGGGCATCGCGAATGATATCGATGCGCCGTTTCGGGGAGAGAATCCTCACCAGCGACTGCGTGAGGGCCTCCTTCACCTGGCTGGCGATGCTGTCGAAGGTGCCCATTTGCTTGCCATCCAGACTGGTAGCCACCGAGTCGCACAGCTTGGCCGCTATCTCTGTTGCCACGTTCTTCGATATTAGATGGTCGCGCATCTTATCCAGCGCCGGCTGCAGATCCGCCAGCGACATGGTCTTGGCGCCCACAATGCCCTTGAAGTAGGAAAGCAGGCCGCCGCGTTTGATCTTCTTGGACTGCACCTGCTCCTCCTGCTGCTCCTCAGAGGAGTCCTCTTCGCTGTCAGCCTCGTCGTCGCTCTCCACGTCCAAGTCGCGGATGACGCCCTGCATTGTGCCCACCAGCTGCCATTTAAAGAATAATAAGAGTTCTTATTTTCACTTCGAACAGCAGAGTTTGATTCGCAGAAAGTGAAAGTTACTCACCTCGCTGTTGATGTTCTGGTACTGCACATCCTCGGGCGTATCCTTGGAGCGATCGAGTATGACGGCGTCCTTGGAATTACCGCCCAGATCCCAGACGCGTGGCTTCTTTCCGGCCTTCTCGGAGGCGGGCTTGCTGGGTTTGGAATCGCTGGGCGAGGTCTTCTTTGTGGGCGTGAGCTTCTCGCGCAGCTTGCGCCGATTCTCCTTGATGATGTCGTCCATAGAACGCGTCGTTGGTGACGAGGGCTGTGACTTGGACGGTGGCGGGCTCTCCTGGATGTTGACCCGCTTCTCGACCGGCTTCTTGTCGTCCTGAATCATCGAGGCGACGGTCTTCTTCGACTTCTGTGACTCGTTGTAGGAGCGCATGGTTTTTGGTGCTTTCACTTGCTTGGCGGACGCCTCCTCCGCCGCGCCGAGCACACGCTGGTACTCCCGATCGAAGTCGTAGTCATCGCCCAGACGTATATCGCCGTACTTCTCCTTGAAGGCCACCTGCATGTCGGCCAGGAATCCATCCAGGTAGTTCAGTTTGATCACCTTCTGGAAAATGGCCGCGTAGACCAGGTCCAGTTCGTTGTCCAGCTTAAACTGCACGGCCAGGTGGTCCTCCTCGAAGTACTTGGCCTCTGTGTTGCGCTCCTGCAGCCCCACAAACCATTAGTGCCCATCCTCAGCCACATCCAAAACCATCCATTCACTCACCTCCAGGATGACGCCACGTATCAGGCTGTTGATGCAGGAGGCGAAGCTGCTCCCGGACGCGTTCGAGTGCCACAGCACCACGCCGCCCTTGGTGAATATCACCACAAAGTCCAACATTTTAGCTACGCTACCGATCCGTCAGAGTGAACAACGACACAACCTACGTGCATTGCATTTGCATCAAATCAAAAGTTGCCACACGTTCCACGTCACTTCTCTAGTGATGGCACCGCGCTCGATATGTCTGCGCGTTATCGTTATCGAAGGCTGTCACATTCGAATTTCGAGATACCGTTAATTATACAAAAATTCATTTGATCAACAAATAAATATAAAAGTAACCATTATTGAACTGAATAAAACTGGATCCAAGCAATAACTATGTGTTCCGACAGTAAGTTAAATATTCTTCAGTCTTTCATTAAGACAATTTTTACTACTTTGTGCAAGTAACACATACACTGCATGCATGCATGCATGCATACATACATACATACATGCATACATGCATGCATGCATACATACATACATACATACATACATACATACATACATACATACATACACACATACATACATACATACATACATAAATACATACATACATACATACATACATACATACATACATACATACTTACTTACTTACTTACTTACTTACATACTTACATACACCGCGGTACATACACTACACTCACTGAGATGACTTGAACTATTTTGCGACTCTAAAGTAGAAGACATGCTACAGTCTTCACTAGAACTAGTTGGGAATTATAAGACTACAAGACAATATTTTTCCCAAACAATTATTAACAGCGGCAATAACAGTGTGTTCCGTCAGTAAGTTAAACATTCTTCACTTTAAAGACCTCATTATCTCACTCAGTAATATAATTATGATTTTAAAACTTTTCAAAATTGTGAGCGTGACAGTTTTTTGCGGCTTGTGGGCGTTAGAGCGGGCGTGGCAACATTTGGAAATATACTTGCGCTGCGTCTATGTCTCTGGAAGCTGCATGCTTTATCTCAGCATTATAGCTTTTGTAGTTCCTGAGATCAAGGCGATCATACGGACAGACGGACGGACAGACGGACATGACCAGATCGACTCGGCAATTGATCCTGATCAGGAATATATACTTTATATGGTCGGAAACGAATTTTTATTCAAAATTGAAATAAAAACGCATTTGCTTTTGCTTTACACATCTTTAATGTTAAATTTAGTTGTGTATGTTCACTTTTTATTACAATATAATTTATTATTAAATTTAATAATACATTATTAGAGTTCAAGTCCTAACACTTTCATTATTTATACCGCATAATATCGAAGCACTCATTCAGTTGGTTTTCCATATTAACATTGTTTTAAAAACTCGCATTTGGTGGATTAAAAAATGGGTTATCATTCGCCTGCTTTGGGATTGGGTAGTATTTTCATTTTTATAGTGCTCTGAGGAAATGCAATAACAAAATGATTAAACGTCTTGATTGGATAAATACTTTAGGAGAAGCACGTGAGTATGTTTCGTTCACTTTTCGATTTAGTTTAGTTTGTTTATTACTTTTGTTTAAGGCTAAGATACTAAGTTCTCCGCTATTTGGAACAGATTTCTGTTTTTTCTCTGTGTATTTTGCTTGTTTTTTTTTGTTTTTAAAGCAGCACTAGCAGCATTGTGTGGAAATCCATGATTTGGTTAAGTTTCGTTTGATTTGCTTTCGATAGTTTAGTTTTTAGTCGTGTAAACGTAATTAAATATATGTAATAAATATTAGTACAAAATGAAATGCAAATCATCTTTAAATCATAATAATCGTATAGCAAAGACAGTTTGCATTTTAAATTCTTCATCGAAGTTGCTTAAAATGACAAAAAAAATATAATGTAAAATATATATATATAAATATAAATATATTGTTGGGAACGAAGGAAGGATAATGAAAAGTATCAAAAAAACACTCGCTGTCTAAAATTGCAGTTTGGTCGCGTAAGAAAATCGTTATAATTACTGGGGAATACGTATGTAAATCGGATTTGGTTCAGTAGTACTTTAATAAATTAATACAAATTAAATACAGTTTTGTGGCCTTTAAATAAATACAATGCGCGATTAGTTCGTAGTTCGTAGCTTTAAAATCTATTAGATTTGTGCCGTGGCATGAACAAACTCTGGACGAGCAATTGAACAAAATGGACAAAATGAGGGTAACAAATCGCATCGCATCGCATCGGATCGAATCGCTTCGATTGCATAGGTAATTATTAAAAATTAAATGGAATCTCATATTATGTATAGAGTAGAACGTATGTAAGTAGTAAATATAGTATAGTAAATGTCTTTTTCTTTTACAAAAGTATCGACTGCGCTGAAATTATAATAATATTCATATAATCATTATTCATGGAGAATCCAACAAAGTCGTGGCCTGCCTGTTTTTAGTGAGTTGTTATTGGTTTGTGTTGCTCTCATGGTAATAATGCTGTAGAGTCTGGTCTGTTCCCGTGCTTAGTTCGTAAAGTACATATGTTCAACAGGCTCCCGACTATTAATTATTAGTTAAAAACTTAATAAACCGAGCTCACAGCGACATCGACTTGGAAGGGAAGAGAGATTGCTTCAGGGAATGGGAGGCTGGCAAGTCTTTTCTGCAAAACAGACACGTCTGGTTCTTGAAAGGGGGGATCGGTACGTTTATATATATATATGTGGACAAACGAAGCTCCCTTGCCAAGACGTCCACAAAGCCACCAGAAGCGAGGGAGCTGCGCAGTGGGGCCCAATCAAAAGAATTGAATTCTGTGGTGAGAGTGCATTTAGCATTCGGTAAACAAAGTTGGGTAGCCAGAGGGAATTCGTTATGAAGAATGGGGGTGGGTGGGTGATTGTGCGGATCGGATGCGGGAACTAACGCTTGCCATTCGGCGAGTTGAAGCTGCACGAGAGCATCTCCTCCTTGGCCAACTTGGCGCGGTACTCGGCCATCATGTCCCGGCACTGGATGGCAATGTCTAGCAGCTGCGAGAACATCGACTCGCCCCGCTTGCAGTACGAGTCCTGGTCGTAGTCGACATAGTTGGTCAGGTTGTACAGCGCCTTCGACTCGGTGAGGAAGGTCTCTAGTGTGGCGTTCACGGTGCGATGATACTCCACCACCATCTCCTCCGTCTGTTGCAGGTCGTCGATGGCCTGGTGCTGCACAATCAGCTCGTCGGACATCTCGTGTTCCTGCAATTGGCAATGGGCAATGTGTTTAGTGTGCGGTTGCGTTGTGAACAGTATTGTTATATAGGTTTTATTATTAATTTGTCTAGGGGGAACCCTTTACACTATTTCCATAGGACCCAAGAATTTTCCCTGTTAATTCAACAAAAACCATATAATATAAAGGCATGGTGCCTAGTTAAGTAGTGCACATGTTGCCTTCAATTGAGATGTGCTCCGCACTGCGGCCGCTTGACAGTAGTTTCATCTTTGGCCGCCTGACACCTGGTTGCGATGGATCACGGACGAAGGGCAGAAGGCAGGCGTACTTATACAGCAACTTATCGCAATCGAAATTCGAGAAGCGCACCTCCGTGCGGGAGCGGAGCAGGAGGAAGCGCTTCCCAGACTCGACGGGATTCTCGGCGAACTGCGGCGGCGGCAGTAGCAACGGCCCATTCTCCACATACTTCAGCTCGCCGTCGTTGTCCGCCATCGGACGCGACTTGACCTCCTCAATCAGGCTGGCCATCTTAGCAATCTTTAGAGCGTACCGCACGCCCGCCGTCGGCAAGCGCTGGAACGATCTGCTACGTGTCTCCTCTGATAGCTCATTTTTCTGTGTACTTGTGGGGTCCTCTTGATCATAGGGCACATAGAAGAACTCGTAGTTGTTCGACCTGTCGCGCTTCTTGTTATCCTCCTTGAGACGATTGACGGGATTCGGGGGATGCACCCACTCTCTGATGGTCAGCTGGGATCCCTCATTGCTGCTTAACTTCTTTCTTTGCTTGGAGTAAACGTTGTAGGGATTATTCGCCGTCTTCTTGGGTTTGTTGCAGTTCCAGACGCGCGAAGGTTCCGCTGCACCGATGACTGTGGCCGAGGAAGTCAAGGTTGCAGCTTTGCTTGCTGGGACCATGCTGTACAGGGAACGCAGGTTCCGTGAATTGGTGTACCTCGCCACACTGGGCACGTGGCCATCGCGTGCTCTCGACTTTGCCTTGCTGATCGAACTCTTCGGCGAAAACTTAAGCATCGTGTTAGGTATCGACTTGTATTTATTTTTAACTTATAACCTGAACTAAAAAGAGCTGCGAACTGAGCTAGAACCAGATGATGACTGAGGTGAATCGAGAGGCAGAGCTATATTGTCAGGGAATTGGCCTACTAAGCATACTAAGCATATAAACATACATACTGGGAATATATATTTTTTAAGCAATCGTAGTTATATTGTACAAAAAACATAATTTAAAACCAAGTCTTCGTATATATATAGTTCTCAGTCATAGATTGTTCAATTCAATTCACTTAATTCCCAGTACTTTAGAAACGTTTCCTAGCTCCCACTGGTTTGAAACGCATACTTCTTGGCTTTGGGTATCCCTAGATGAGGGGGCGTGGACAATATGTGGGGAAGTGGACCGGTCATGGGTTGTATACTCACGCTCAGCGAACTTAGCATGGCCAGATCCATGTTGCCGGCGTTTCCGTTCTTGTTGTTGTTATTATTGTTGTTGTGAATGCCCGTGCCCGAATGATGGGAGGCCGGACCACGCTGATTGTTCGACTGGGAGGCCGGCGCATGCGAGTTCGGGTGCAGCTGATGGGAGTGCGAATGGACCATATTGAGTTCCTCCTCATCCTCGTCGTCCATGATCTCAATGGGCTCACTGTCGCCGCCAGGGCCGATTTCGGCGATATCCTTAACCACCAGCTCCTTGACACGGTCCGCATAGCGCAGCGTGTTGAGCGTGTGCTCGCAGGAGCTCAGTCCCGGCGAGATCATGGCGATCATGCAGGTTTTGCTCTTCTCGCCAATGAACGAGTCGCGCAGCACCTGGGTGAGTTTGGAGACACGGAAGGGCAAGTGGGCCGACTGTTTGCCCAAAGCACGGATGCACTCCTTGAGGGCCAGCAGCGATTTGTTGATCTCGGCGCCCTCCATGCGCGTCTGTCGATCGGCGGAGGAGGTGTCCACGCCGCGCTCATTGCCCGCCAGATCGATGAAAGAGAACTTGCCGTGGATCTTCGTGGAGCCCCGCGGCCGCAGCACAATCTGGAAGACGGCGTGCGAACGCGACGAGTTGGAGTTGGCCGACGTCTGGCCAGATGTGCGGGCAGCATTGCCGTGCTGGATTAGCTTCAGTACCTCCTCAACGCCATCGACCACCTTCTCGGTGAGGCCCACCACCTGCACCTGCTGTTTGCCGTCCTCCAGGACGCGCAGCTTCTGCTTGTCGGCAAGAAGATCAAAGACCTAAGGCAACAACGCTTAGTTAGTGCTAAGGATCACCAATGCCAGGAGTACGTCACTCACCTTGCCACTGTAAATCTCAAAGAAACTGGCCGAAACGACTAGATTCATGGCGCGGTAGCGCGGCATATTTAAGGTCACAAAGACATCCTTGGCCGCCATGGCGTAGATGCCGTTCTTGCAGTCCTGCACCTTTCCATTGAACTCGCCGCCCATGGTGTGCGTCTTTCCGGATCCTGTCTGGCCGTAGGCGAAGCACGTCGCCATTCCGCCCTCGAAAATGGTTTTCACCAACGGCTTGGCTGTGTATCTGCGTGGGTAGAATGGAAGTTTTCAGATTAATGTGGGTATTGCAGATATTTTTGGTATATTCAAGCGCAAGTACTATTGTACAGCTTGAATTCATTATATATATTTATATATTTACATTCAAAGTTGGCGTTAAGAAATTATCTGCCTAGTACAAATGGTATGTATAATCCCGTATCGATAAGAATTATAAATACAAATAATTAAGGAACCCATTAAGATGCAAAAAAATGTGTAAATCGCATTGTTTTCTACTATTAATGAGGATTGATAACGCATAATGCCCCGCCAATCAGCAGCTGATTCACTCGTTAGGATTTGTCAACACGAGTGCGTTATCTTAGTGCATAGTCTTGGGTATTAATGCCGGCTATATTACTCATGGTGTATACTTTAGCGGTTACCGTGACGCAACTAATGGCGTTACCAATTCCAGCGAGCCATACAATACACATGAGTGCGAAAACCGGAAAGAGAAGCTAAGAAGTTGGCGGAGAAAGGGGACACAGCGGCAGCAGCTTTAATTCAATTGAAGCCAAACAATTCCTAATGGGCAAATGCCGGGCCACAAGGCAGTTACTTTTCGAAATCTCTTCCGCTGGAGAATTGGGTTTAGAGAGCTCGGGCGCAGATCGGCCGAAGAGGGGCAGGGGAAGCGTCTGGGCTTCCAAGTTAGTCATTCAACGAACTTGGCTATTTCGGGAGCGACCGCTTTCGGATGCATGTATGTTTCTGTTGCCGTCTCTGTCGGCATGACTCAATGAGTCGCTCCACCAGAGATGCCCCACAACGAGCTCAAAATGTGACTGGCACTTTGCTGGAAATGCACTCGATGGAAATGTGAGAAATGGCTATTCATCAGTGTTCTTTACTTGCGGATGGGAAATTATTTCCTTAGAGGATCTGCTATTGCATATATCATTCTACTGCATCATAAGTACGTAATACGATTTAACATTGAATGATGGCTTTAGAAGGTGATACGTAAATAAATTGTTAGGTTCTGATAGATATTAATACGACTTTTACAGATGAGATCAATTGGAAAGGCGTTTTCTAGCAAGGATACCCCTCTGTAATTGAAGAAGCATGACCGAGACGGTGGAATGTATGGCTACCATATTGAGAACACGAACTGCTGTTTGCTTAGAATCACTAATAACTCAAACATGCCATATACGGAATTGTTTTGAAGCTGCTAGTTGGTCGTTGGAGCTATGTAGTTATTGATGGCTTTTGTACACTGGATACTCACTTGTATACCATGGCATTGTCGCACGTGTCGTTGAAGGCGTAGTCGAAGCGAAACTTGTGGTTCTCCAGGAACTTGGTGAGGTCGACCTTGCTGCGCGGCTCGTGCACGATGAGCATGTCCTTGCGCGGCACCGAGATGACATCGATTTCCTTGCGGTTGACCTCTTTGCGGCTGATGGGACGCTTGCGTACGCACACGGTGATCTGATGGTCATCGACGGCCTGACCATCGAGCAGAGGCACAAACTCCAGCGTGCTCTGGTATTCGCGTATCATCTGCGCCGTTTCCCAGTTGGGATTGCCCGGATCCTGGTTCATCAGGGCTACCTTCTCCTCCTTCATCTCGGCCTGGCGGGCGCGTCGCTTCTCTCGATTCTCCTTCAGTCGCTCTACCTCCTTCAAAGCGTGCGATCGCCGGGCACCAGCGCCGCCAGCTCCCTGGGTCGTGGCCGCAGCAGCGACTGCCTGTGTCGCCGGAGCAGCACTGGCTGCCGCGCTGGGATTGGGTAATGTGTTATTAGGAACCGCCGAGGCGATCCTCGTCTGTTGCTGGCTGACGGCAGTCTGCGAGAACCGTGGACGCTGTAATCCAGTGGTCGTAGTGGTGGTGCCACCTCCAACCGCCGTAGTATTAGAGTTGCTGTTTGTATTGGCGCTATTGCTGTTGCCCAGCGGATGGGGGATCGACTGGCTCTCCTGGATCTTGTTCAGCATATTGCCGGCCATGGTCATTCGGCTGGTGAGATTTCCACCGATTGCCGATTGTGTGGGATTACGTGAGAGGTTCATCGGAGCGGTGGCCTGCTTCTTGGGCTCCGGGGCGGCGTGCTGCTCGACGGTGTCCTGCATCAGCTCGGGATTGAGAGTGAGTATGGCGTCCAGTTCCACCTCCTTGCCCTTGGTTTCGCCGCGCTCGTACCATTCGACTGTGATGCACTTGCCCGACTGGTTGATCACCGCCACCACGGCCATGTGGACGCGGCCATCCGTCCGCTTGATCTTGACGCTCTGCCCCACCGTAATCATGTCCATATTTGGGCGTCGATCCTTCCTGTTTGACTCCAGCTGTATATATATATATTTCTCTACCGATCTTCCTTTCTTCCGGCTTATCCTGCGATATCTCCTGGCACTGCTTTATGGACAGCAACTCCCACTGCTTACACGAGGAGTTCCGTTAGTTGTAGAAGTAGTAATTTCGTTTTGTAGTGCAAAATGTATCTGAACAAATACGTAAAAAAAATAAATGTTCGGAATTTTAGGTCAAAAATGAGTTTGTTCTGTTCAAAAGTAACTACTGGGAAGATATGAATCTAGGTGGAAACTAAGCCCCAAACCAAATTCGAGCCAGTGACGACTAAATCGCAGCCAACTGCTTGTCGAGGTCACCGACAGCGTCTGTTTTTTTTTTTTCGATTGTGTGTGTGTGTGCTGCTTGCGGGGCTGCGTTAGTATGGGTGTTTGAGCTGAATTTAAATGCCAACTGTCGTTTTCGTTGCGTCTGGCAACGGATAACAAAAAGGAAAAACGGGAACCCGCTGGCTGGTAAATGGAAATGGAAAAGGGGAGCTCCAAGCAAGCGTAGGATCGCTAAAATCCCAATCCCGTTGCTGCTATTGTTGTTGTGCGCCCATTTTGTGGGCACTGGCGGCACTGTGCAACACTGATACACACATAGCGACACATATGCAGCTGCGGCAACCCTTTTGGCCGAAATGCAGCGAAAAAAAAATAACAAACCGCGGCGTTTGGCAACCAATCAATGCTTTCCGCTCCTAATTAGATGCAAAAATGATGAGAGAAAAACACAACACACACGTACACACATATATGCGAAAAGTGGGGGAAATGCGTTTGCTTTATCGCTTTACGTCATACACAGAGCACCCACACACGCACGCACACTCGCGCACACACACCGATGCAAAAAACAGACGGTCGCGGAAATTTAATTGAATTTTTCGCAAGCTGCTGTCTTTTGCTCACCTTTCCTGCTGTCTTCCCAACCGCTACAATGTGCTAGCACTTTCCATTAAAAAAAAACTTGCGGATTTATCGACCGATCACAACTAAATATCACAAAATCTGCTCGAAATAGTTTTGCAAGCGACCAGATGTCAGCAACACAATTTTTTAGTTTCGCCTCGCCATTGTTTTTTGTCCCCACCGCGTTGCGCAGCACTGGACTGCAGCGCGAACAGTGCTGGCAATCAGCCGTTGGATTTGAAACCCGCGATTATTTGCCTGCTAAAAAGTGCATAAAATCCAATTTAAGTTGTCTTCATGTTGGTAAAGGAGTTTTTAGATGTAGTTATGGCTCCTTAGTAGAAATACAAATACAATCGTGCGAACTTCCAAGTTTATTATTTACTTTAATGGCTTGGTCAACACTAAACGAAGTAACCCTTTAAATCGTCAGCTGTTTTGGAATTTTTCGCAATAAGTAACAATTAGAAACAACCGCTTTTGTTTGTATAAGCAAAAATATGTTAAAGTGTGACTAATTTAATGGAAAGTGCAACGGCTTGGCAACATTTTATGCACACGGGTGCAACCATAATTTTCTTCCCCTGACTCTAGCCAACACTAGACATACTTATCGTTCGTTATTTTTTAACCCTCGCTAATTTCACTTTTAAAACTTAGCCAATTACCGGAAGAACAGTGTGTGTAGTTGATAATTGTTCAATCAGGGCAAACAGGACATTATCACACGATGTTGGGTGTTCTTTTGCAAGGTTTTATCACTCATATATTTGCACTTTGTTTCTTTTTATTAGATTTCCTTGAGAAACACGCATTTAAGTTATTATTTTTCGTAGGCAGTTAGCCATTTATCAATTTGGACAAAGTGTTTGCTGTGTTGTTGTTTGTTAAGTGGAAACACCCGCATTTAAGAAGCGAATAAGTGCGCTCTTACATCGTGTGTGTGTATCGATATTAGCTTCCCAACAATCGACTTTTGTTGGTGGTGGGTGCATTTGTTTGTGCGTAGAAAGGAAAGCGTAATAACCCCTCCTGATATCGATATCGATATCACATCACAAAAAACAATAAACCAAAAAAAAAACGCTACAAACTATTATTTTGTCTGCCAGAAAAAAGGAATTAGCAGCTGGACGTAGCCAAGTTGCCACATCAACTGACCGACACCAGACACCACAGCACCCAGCTCCACCATGGACATCATGGATATCCAGGCCGTAGAGTCCAAGTTGAGTGACGTCACGGTGACACCGATACCGCGCAGCCAAGTGCAGAATTTCTACAATTACCAGCAGCAGCGGGAGCAGCGCGAGCAACAGCCCCAGATCCAGATATCGGCTATCCACCACTCGCGTGGATCCGGTGGCGGAGGAAGCGGATCCAATTCATCCAACGCGGCCACGGACTACTCCACAAGCAGCGGTGGCAAGCGGGAGAGGGACCGCTCCTCCGCCAGCGACTACAGCAGCTCGTCCAGCAAACAGAGTTCCGCCGCAGCGGCCAATGCAGCAGCAGCTGCTGCCGCCGTCGCTGCCCTCCAGTACTCCCCGCAGTTCCTCCAGGCCCAGCTGGCCCTCCTCCAGCAGCAATCGAACACAACAGCCACGCCGGCAGCCGCCGCAGCTGCGGCCCTCTCCCTGGCCAACATGTGCTCCAGCAATGGCGGACAGAGGAACTCCGGCTCCGGTGGCGGTGTCTCCTCGACCTCCTCGGCCAGCAATGGCCAGAGCATGGGCCTCAACCTGAGCTCGTCGCAGCTGAAGTACCCCCCACCCTCAACCTCGCCTGTGGTGGTGACCACCCAAACTTCGGCCAACATCACCACGCCGCTGACCTCCACGGCCAGCCTGCCCTCTGTGGGACCGGGCAATGGGCTGACCAAGTACGCCCAGCTGCTGGCCGTCATCGAGGAGATGGGACGTGATATCCGGCCGACGTACACGGGCTCGCGCAGCTCCACGGAGCGGCTCAAGCGGGGCATTGTACATGCTCGCATCCTGGTGCGCGAATGTCTCATGGAGACGGAGCGAGCGGCACGCCAATGAGAGGAGGAGTCACTGGTGCCACAGCTGACGTCGCCGGATTGAAATGGACCAGGAGGCGAGGATCATCCCCATCTAGCAAGTAGGTTAATTTCCCCCAACAAAAGAACACGGACAGAATGGGTCGAATTCGTAATCTTTGCACAGTTGTGAGCCAAATCCTCTTGAATATCATAGGAATAATTTAGTTTTAAAGCTTTCCAAAGGTTTTAACTAAAGACAAACGAAAGTGCTCAAACAGAGCCTTCGGGGTTTTCTTTCTAAGTTCGAATTCTTTGCTAGGCATTCCAAATTGTTATGATGAATCGCACTAATTTTAATATTATATTTATCAAATTCTCACATTCTTAAACATAGTTCAGTTAAAAGAAAGTTGTTTTAAGTTCAGTCTCGACATGGCTAAAAAGAAATTCCTTCTATTTTCCACGGAAGATGTTCAGAATGCTCCAAAGATTGCCTATAGCAAAGATCCATCCTGTCCCCAAATAAGGATTAAAGAATAGCAATTTGTATTAACTTGTAAGCCCCCATCAACTTAATGGCCCTCGGGCCGCCGGACCATAGTTAAAGAATGTTTAGACTAGCTCAGGTTACAATCGGTTAAATCGACAATGCAATAGCTACAGCACAAGTTATTGGACCGAACCGATTCGCGCTGATCGCCTCGGATTTGTAAGTTTGCCGAATAGCAATTAATCTGTATCCGTAAACGCAAGACCAGGATGCACCTGTGTCTGCGTCATGCATGCGATTAATTATCTTTTGGCAATTGACGAGGCGGAGCAGATCCGTCGAGGAGATGCAGGGCAGGATGTGTGCGAGTTTGTCACTGCCGGGTAGCTCCTCGTTATTTTAGAGAACTATACAAATGCATATATGTAGTTAAGCAGAGATATATGTATACATATATACTTGTTATGCAAGCAAACAGTGTGCATGTCCAAGTGAATGGTGAATTAGTGGCAATTGACACGAGAATATTTATATATGTATACACATAGAACACAACTTGTATATTTACTATATGTATGAGCAAATACGACTAAGTTCAAGCCTGTATACCAAACCGAAATCGAAATAAATGCGCAATTTTGGTTTTTGTAAACGCAGCTGGCTCATTTGATTTTAAATTATGAGCCCGATATTCAGTATGCATAGCACATTTAAGGTATGTACTTCAAAGTTCTATATTATAAATTCAGTTTTCATAGTTCTCTTCACATTTGCAGTTCGAGTTGGAGGCGTTGCTAGCAGTTGAATTTGGGACAGCAGCCGGGATAGGGCTTGCTCAGGTCCTCTTCCATTTTGCAGGGCTTTAAGGTGGCAATCACAGGACATCTGGATGGCAGATTTGTTGAGTCAAGGAGTGATCCATGTACACATCCTGCAACTACTTACCCCAAAGCGGTCACTTTCTTGGGTCCCACGCAGGAGTACTGCAGGCAGCGACCTTCCGGAGTGTACTTCTCTCCGGTCTTGAACTTATGACCACTGATCTCGCAATCCACTACGGATGACAAAGGACATGAAGGATAGTCTGGGTTGCAGCAGAGCACTGGACCCACTTACCCGCGAACACCAGCAGCATGTGGGCGCCCAGCACTAGCAGGCAGAGTACGAACGTGACCGGCTTCATATTTTGTAGCTAACTGATCCAACGATCGCCCAGCTGCCCGACTATATAGTTATACTTGTTTGGGGTGCGCCAGCGATTAGACAGAAGGGTCAAGATGCCCGTGCAGTGGCGATTACGTCTCAGGGGTCCTCGGGTTTATCAAATAGGTGGAAAATTCTGGTTGCGAACAGATTCGTTCTGGACGCTGGCATAACAGCTACAGTTCCAGTGATAACAGCATTAGCTCTTAAATTATAGGTTTATTTAAATGGAGATTATATGCTTACTATTCTGTAGGCAATAGTATTTTGGCAAACATTGCCACAAGATCAATGGACTATAGCTAATAACTAATAACCAGGCGAAAGCGAGATGGTATTTCAAAGCAGATCAATGCTTTTGACCTACATCTAGTATTCGTCGGAGCACTCGAGTTGGGGACAGCACTCTGGGTACTTGAAATCATAGTCGTTGGGGAAGAGATGGCAGCCAGGTCGCGGCCAGGGCTGTTTGTCGCAGCTGGAAGGGATTGGGGGTCTATAGTGTTGGCTTTTGGCCAAATCTGGACACTTACTGGCGTATCAGCAGCAGGTAGTCATCGGTGCACTCCAGGCGAAGGCAGTAGCCCTGCTGTCCGGCGGGCAGAACGAAGCCATGGAGTGGAACGGCCAGGCCCAGCTCCTCGTAGAGGCAGTGCTCCGGCATGGTTGGGTGCTGCGTGTGACCACGGTACTGGGTGCTGAACCCATTGCCGCCCACCGACACGGCCAGCAGACAGGCCACGATAGCCAGGTACATCCTAGGTGCTGCGGACATGGTTGCTCTCGTTGTGGAATAGCATTGGGCCGTCGCCGGAGGCATCTCTTATAGGCGGCCCAGCCGGCAGGGCGCGTCTTATCAGCTGCGGTGATACCGCTCTCGTGATTCGATTTCGGTTGGGTTGGGTTTGCCTTGCTCTCGATCTGGAAACGGAGGAAGTGGCGCGCCTCGTTATCGGACTGCTGGCACTCGAGGATGATGGCCTAGACCAGGAAGGAGTACCTGAAGCAAAGGCCTTTCACTCGTAGGTTGTTGCAAAAGTAATTAGTTTCTCAATTAACAAATATTTGTGAACCCATTTGGGAGCTGGGTAACTAATTATTAGTTGGGTAAACAAGTTCAGCAAATTCTATGATTAACAGAAGCAGTAGAAGTTAATAAAGGCAAGCAAGTAAATGTAACTACTATCTAACTTTACTTACTTTTTCCCACCAAATACTTAATATATCACAATAAGTAAGGGAATCTCAGATATGTCATAGGAAATCCATGCTTAGAAGCGCCTAACCTACGGGTTCTGGACTTGACGCCATCCCAACCCAATCCAGATCGAATCACGGCGGAATTAATTAATGCAAATACAGTCCACAATGCACTTGCACTCGTGAGTCCCATTAAATTTGCATAAATGTATCTAGGTATTACGTACCCGGGGGAATCAAGTGTTGTGTGCTCTGGGTACACTGGGAGAAATGCATGGAGTATGTCGGTATACCGCCAGCTGTAGCACAGAGAACACGAACACGTTCCATTCAGCCCGCAGGTTCGCCACACGTTCAACAGCCCGTTTTCTGCCAGTGTAGCTGGCCGAAATTCGGTCGCACAAAAGAGTTATTTGCGTGCTGCGATTACTTTTCAACCTTGCCACAGTTTCTCGAACCGTGCCAGTTGGCTGTCGGGGATTCCGCCATGCCGATCCCCGCCAGAGCTCACTCTCGCTTTCAGGGCTGGCTTAATTAATTTAAATTTTTAATTTAAACTAGAGCTGGCCGGAGCTGGAGCGGACGCCTTAAGTCGTCGGCAAACAAAACAAAGCCACAGATGCTATCTGGTTGTGCACACACATGTGTGCCACATAGCCATGTGTTCCTGCCCATGTACGGCACATGGTTTATTATTAATTTTATATAAAAGCAACAACAATTAATTGTAATTGACTCAGTCGCACGGGCAGCGCACAACCGCCAAGTTGGATTTGGATTTCGAGCAATCGGAGTGGCGCCTCAGTTCCGTTTCCCAAAACCTATTTCACTCACTTGCCGACTATGCGAGCCGGAGTCGCTTGTCTCCTGGTGCTCCTGGGCATCTGCGGAGCCGCCCGGGCGGATCTCACCTACCGCGGCAATGCAGTGCATCCAGGTGCATCCACTAGGAATTCGATAATATAGCCCATGGCATGGTATCTAGATACTACAGTGAATGCTAGATACTACATACCGTACCTACTGTTCTTGTTATTCAATGGGAGGATAACGAACATTTCGTGTTGTGCGTTTCCAGATTATCCTGGCCAGTGCTACTATGAGGAACTCAACCAGGCCATACCCAAAAAACAGTCCTACAAGCCCATCAATCGCGAGGGCTATTGCCAATCCATTTACTGCAGACCAGACTACGTCCTGGAAATCGGCTAGTACGTTTCAAAAATGTGCCCAAGAAATATACCTTATAGTTTAAACACCCATTTTCCCTCCAGTTGCGGTCGCCACAATCTGGTGCCCACGGAGAAGTGCAAGATCGCCTCGGATATGCGGCGCACCTTTCCCGAATGCTGTCCCAAGCTGGTTTGCCAGGAGTCCGAGAGCAACTACATCTAGACCGGAGGCGGATGCTGTGCTGGCTGCTTAGTATTACCACTTCCTAGTATTGTATATTCTTATTTTGTTAAATGTTAAATGTGTCACTTGTAAGTTCAGCGCTTATTTATACTGATAGGTTTATTGGTCTATGTTTTCGATATTCTTGCCAGAAATATATACATGCGATATACATGCGATGTACGATATCTCAGACAAAGAGATAATTTCGTGCTAACTTAAGTACTTGGATCACATAATTGTTGCTTTCATTGTAAAATCCACTTAAGAGCTCACAGAATTAAACAATTTTTTTATGTTCTTGAATTTTGTAAGGTATTTTGAAGATTTGTGCCCAAAAGTCTAGCTGAATGGAAAAAGAGGTAAGTACCTGTAGTTAAATTGCATGATTAATAATTACATTCTCCCAAGTTCTTCCTTTTGATACATTTGTACATTTGTGCCACACTTTTTGGAAACTACGCATCTGACCACCCCGCCTGCCGGGCAATTAGGCAATTAGCAAGTGCCATCAGAATCCCACTCAATCAAGCTGAAAATGCAAATCACGACTGCTAATTCGCAAACGAGCCGCGATCCAAGTGCCTCTCTGGTGGGAGCCTATAAATAGGAAACGGGCTGGCCGGTTCTCGGTTCAGTCTCGTCTCCGCGCTCCAATGATGCACAACCGATGCGGATCCATCTGGCTGCTGGCCGTCCTGCTGCTGGCGCTCCTGCTTCCGGAGGCACTGCTGCCCACCGCCGACGCGGGTGAGCTGCGAATGGAGTCACCACACTCCCATATGTGATATATATATCTTGTACGTAGGCAGCGAACCGGTGTGCTCCTACCGCAACTCGGAGGATGAGACCATCTTCCTCAAGTACCTGCCGCTGCTGAGACGCGGACAGGACTACGTGGACTTCGGCAAGGACGGCAAGTGCCTCAAGCGGGCCATCTGCACGGACACCTTCAAGACCATCGTGGAGGAGTAAGTACACAAGAGTGCCAATGGCTGCTGCGCAGTTCCAGCAGAGATGTGCATATGCCAACTAAAAACGCGCCTGATAACCATGGGCTACAACATGTTTGCTAAGTATTCTAAGCTCCAGTTGATATCGTTGCAGCTGTGGACAGCAGAAGATCAGTTGTGCCAACAAGGATCGCTTCACCGGAGTTTTCCCCGGCTGCTGCCTCAAGTGCACCTAAAACCGAGGAGTTTCATTAGAGAAATGTGTATGATGTGTATTATGTGTTGAAATGTAAACAGTAAACGATTAGTGACACTTCTGTATGGAATATATGTTAGCATTCAAATACAGGGTATACGATAACTATAGTTTACATCTTCCACTTTCATTGCAAATCCAGCCATTCGTTTAGTTTCTTTTTTCGACGTTTATTTTTTATTTCTTTAGTTTCTTAGATTAATAACATGTGGATGTGGATTCGGCGGCCTGTCTATTAGGTTTTCTCATAGTTTTCAGTGTAGTATCTGTAGTATTATTTGCTTTGCTATCCTTTGGGACTCAGTTCATTAGCCAGCTGTCGCGCTCTCGCTCGCACCCGTGCGCAGAGCATGCCGTCTCGCTTCTTTCTAACATGCACACTTTTCGTTTTTTGAAGTTACTCGGTTGTTGAGTGGAAAAGAACATCGTTGTTGCAAGTTTTAAAAAAATACATACAGTTTTATTTTCGGGTATGTTGGGTTCGCTTCTCAACCATTTGTATGACAATTTCGCTTTCGCTTTTTCTTTTTGTTTTTTTTTGGCCAAAAGCCAACGCATAAGGAAACAAACAAAAAAAAAATCAATTATAACCGACCTATCGAGGAGTGGGAACCTAAAAATTAATTACAATCGACGGCAGAAGGGCTCCGCTGGCTGGGCTTGTTGATGTTCTAAGATCAATCGCACGTAAGCTGCTGGCATTTCAATGGTGTACCGATGGTATACCAATTCTGATGCTCCTATTCCGTAGCTGTTGAGGTGACTGCATTGCTCTGCTCCAGCTTACTGTGCCTGTTGCCCTTACTCTCTTGACTTGCTGTGTGTGTTTGTGGTTGGTTTGGATTCAGAGTTGTGTGTTGTGTAGGTGGTGTGGTGTGCGGTGTGGTGTGTGTTCGTGCAAGCCAGCCATCTCTCTCAGTTAACTATAAATAGGCTTATAGATCCTCGTCCTCGTCGGGCAGGGCGGTCGCCTGGGCCTCCTGCAAGTCCCGCTCGATCTGCGCTTGCCAATCCTTGTCCATCTTGACCTCGGGCGGCAGCAGGGCTGGCATGGCGACGAACTCCAGGTTGGGATCACCAACCAGCTTGCGCGCCAGCCAGAGGAATGGTTTCTCGAAGTTGTAGTTCGATTTGGCAGAAATGTCGTAATACTGTGTGCGACGGAAAAAAAGATATAGGATTTAGTCTCACATCTCATGTTTAGCACATCGATTTCTTTGTGGGAAACTTGAAATAACTGGCATTCAGCTAGATCCTCGACTATGTAACACTCACCTGCAAGTTCTTCTTTCGGTGGAAGACGATGCTCTTCGCTTTCACTTTCCGGTCCTTGATGTCGACTTTGTTGCCACAGAGGACGATTGGGATGTTCTCGCAGACGCGGACCAGATCGCGATGCCAGTTGGGCACGTTCTTGTAGGTGACACGCGAGGTAACATCGAACATGATGACGGAACACTGGCCCTGAATGTAGTAGCCATCGCGGAGACCGCCGAACTTCTCCTGGCCAGCGGTGTCCCACACATTGAAGCGGATGGCGCCGCGATTGGTGTGGAAGATGAGTGGATGCACCTCCACGCCCAGTGTGGCCACGTACTTCTTCTCGAACTCGCCGGTCATGTGGCGCTTGACGAAGGTGGTCTTGCCGGTGCCGCCATCGCCGACGAGCACGCACTTGAATGTGGGAATATCCTGACCTTCCTGAGCCATCCTGCTAAGCACTCGGTGTCTTCGTTATACGCAAACTTCTGGACTTCAACGACGGAACAGTGAGCTGCAGATTGGACGATTGTGTTTGGCTGGTTAGCAACTAGCAAATATTTTATATATTTCTATATATATCTATATATATAGGAGCTTGAGCAGAAACTGGAACAGGGTGTGTTGGCGAGGATGTTGTTGGTTCGGCGAGCGCCAGGCGACTGACTGCGAATCCTGCGAGCCGTCCAAAATGTGACATGCACAAAGGATGCCTCAAAGCCCGCCAAGGACGGCGACCAGCTGTTCGGCGATGAGCGAGCAGGATAACGACAGAGGACACTGCAGCTGCCGCTCCCGCTGAGCCTGCAAGGATAAGGAGCCAAGGCGACGGCCAGAGCGAGATGGCCACATGGGCTGCCTGCGAGTGCAGGTAAGCGGAAATTCCAGGCGCACCAAACAGCAACAGAAGCAGCAGCAGCAGCAAATGTCAGGGAGGCGGAAGGATATACTCTGCAGGCAATCGCACATTCCCACCACGTTTATGCGCAGCCCAAAACAGTTTGGCACACAAAGGAAAGCGGGAAAACAAACGGATCTGACCCACAATTGGCCTAGGTATACTAATTTACACCCCAGCATAAAAACTCAAAGTAAATAATAAAGAAACTCCGACTGAACGGAAATGCTGATATTTATGTTCGCAAAATATTTGCGCGCATGAACGCTTGGCATAATTTGTAGAATACTTGGTGTAGAACAGGAGAAATTACAAATAGTACAAGAAAAGTACAATGTAAACAAAATGTGCTTGCTAAACAAACTTAATTTAACAAAGCCTATTAATTAATAAAGAATATTGAATAGAAATATTGGTAGTTATTTATGTTTATCAACATAAATTCTCATGATTTGCATACCTTCTGACGCAAACAAGACAAATTTCGTCAGCTTTGTAAATTTGGAGTGAAGTAAATAATTTGAATGGGGATATTTCGTAAACCTCTGAAAACGGCCGTTGGTGACTCAACCCTTTGGAAACTGAAACGAGTTACTTTTCAGGATGGCAAGATTATGAAATTCCTGCGCATCACACCACCAGTGCTGCCCATAAATGGCGGAAATTCCTTATTTTTAGTGCCGCCTGTAACGCCGGTAAATTACAAGCACACACACACACACAGCCGCTCGTATTGGTGAGAACCTGTGGACGCTGCAAAGCGCGCCAAAAAAAAATGCCGACATACAAATAATGCATCGTTTTTTGTTTGCTCATTTGCTAGTTGGCGACGAGCGCAGCAGTCGCCATTCACGTGAAAATCGCCAATCGCATTCTAAATTCTAAATAACAAATCAAATTCTAACACACATACGCACGCACACAGTGGCAAACACACGCAGCCAGACGGCGACGTTGACGTCGCTGCCGGCAGAAGAAACATGAAGACAATTCATTGCCGTTTTTTTTTGCGATTCATGTTTAACCTCACAAAATGCGAATGGCATGGCAATCGTTAAGAACGTTTCGATGTCCAAGGGACAAGGGCATTTCCCCGATTCAACGTGGAGTACAATGTGGTGCTGCCAGTCCTTAACGGCGGCGTTTTCCACTGAAGAGATTGTCATGGCCGGAAAAGCGGGGAAAACAGCACGAGGCGGCACCACGTCGTTTTCATTTTGGACTGGGAAATCTCTGGAAGCTTCGTCCGCAAGCTGTGTTCTACAACCCCAACCGGCATTTTGGCTTGTTGGCCGACTGGTATTGGTGGCCGGAAACCGGGTGGGCGATGCCCAGTTGAACAAGCAGCAAATGCCGCTGGCCCGGGAATAAACGACAGAATTCCCAGCGAAGTGACGCCGTCGTCCATATTGCATGCGGATTTGGAGCGACATTGGCATTATGCCACACATGCCCAGCACTCATTCACATCACTGTGCCCAATTGGCATTGCTGCCAGCGAATTTGCACACAATTTAACGCACATTTTGTGGTTCTACTTACATGTTGCTCGAGATTCCTCGCAAATCACAACTTTCTTTTTTGCCGAAGCACAACGCAGTGCTGCCAGATTTGATTGGAAAACTTAGCATCGATGTTTTCTCGATGTTTTTGTTATCGGACAGTGTGACCGTGCGATTAGCGACAAGTTACCAATTTTGGCGCTTACTTATATACCATCCACATCGTTTTGAACTATTGCCAATATACCAAATGTACGGTGTGAAAATATATAGACTACCTTTAACTTTATTGTATGTTTTAATGAACATAAATTTGTATTTTGTAGACCATTGCATCTAAGAATTAAAAATATTTTAAAAGATATTCCTTGTTTAACCGTTCACAGAAATCATCGTTTCCCCAAGGACCTTCAATGAGAAATTGACATGTCTTGAATTTATATACAATCAATACTCAGCTTTTTCGTCGCTACCACGAAAAAGTGGATTTATTTTTTGCAGCTTACCTAAATACACAAATAAACGCCCATTCAGCTAAAGAATTTGCGCAACGTTCCTTGTAAATTGAGCTATGGATTCCCCCTCCAACCGCATTTAGCCATCGATCCGGCAACGCTGCCAGTTGATGCAACACATTTTTTTTTGTTTTGAATGATAAATTCTCCGAGAATCCTGTGGCTTCTTGCACTGCCCAGGTATCAGTCACGAATACAGTGATCTATATACACCTATATCCACCCACTTCCGGTTTCAACCCTCCCCCCCAAAACTCGTCATCGCCCATTCCCAGAACCGCCGCCAATGAAATCCCACAAGTGAATCAAGCGCAACGCATCCAAATCAGTCGCGTGCGTGATTCGTACGATATCGGTCGTTATATATCCGCCATATAATCGGACCAAGATGAGCGGGAGCCACAAGGAGCACAAGTACACCAAGTTCAGGCGCTACATGGAGAAGTTCTACGTGCTGCCGCTGGAGCTGAAAAACGACATCATCTACTGCCAGCGTGCGTTGCGCGACTTCCTCAAGGTCCACGGGGTTAGTACATATTTTGGGCATAGCTCCTCTGCGGCACCACCTAATTTGATTCCTTTGTCTCTGTTCTCCACTCTCGCAGTTGGTCTCGGATGTCTTCAAGGAGCAGGCGGATGCGGTGGGTTAACGCAAGAAGACTTCAAGTCTTTGTCCTTTGTTCCCATCGCCACATGAACCCCACCATCCCCCCGTGGAACACCTGCATCAGAATGCTCCCCCCCATGAAAAAAAACACACAGATTTTCCAACACAAAGAACTGTATGTAGATGAAGCTACGAACGCATTACTTAGTTTAGTTTTTCACTTAAGAAACAACTGACGCACACACGAGGATTTTTAGTGTTGGGTTAAAAACTTTTCAGTCGGAGGGGGAACAGCGTTTTAAGCAATACTAGTCATAAAAAGAAAATTGGGTCACATGTTTTTATTTCCGAAGGAACCACGTTTACATCTCACTGAGTTTTGTCACACTTACTTTCACTTTTTAACCTTAAACTTGTTTTTTTTTTGCCAAGAAGACATATAAGCAATACATACAATGTATGTGAGAAAATCCATCTATATAAGCCAGTATTATTGATTTCTTAACAACATTAATGCGCACATTCATTTACGTCGCATATTTTAATATTTTCCCTCCGTGCGTCCTTACCCATCACCTCATATTTAATTAATATGCATACCTTTTTTGGCTCAGTGCTTTTGGCCATGAGTGGTTTTCATTGCCATTAGCACCTGTGCTTCCACCTCACAATCACCGAAACACTTAATGTGACACTCACGCTCTTTCCACCATTAGGATCCCGTGCAGATGCGCCGCATCTTGGACGAACTGGAGGAGGAGGTGTACGAGATCAATGGAGAGCAGCAGTTTCTGCTGATGCGCCTGAACGACGACCTGGGGGGATTCTTCATGAAGCTAAAGGAGAACAACATCGCCTCCTTGCCGGAAATGGCCAATGAGTACGTTTCCGCCCAGATAGTGCCTTTGATCGCCGATCCCAACTACAAGATCACTCCGCAGTCGGTGGTGGCTCGGGACAACGAGGAGATGCTCATTCGCAAGCACTTCCTCCTGAGCCAGGACGACGATGCTGGTGTGCCGCCGCTGAAGCTCAGCGAATTGGACGAGAATATACCACTGATGCTAGCTCCTCCAGTTAGAGGATTGGGTCAGCAGATCGCAGCCGCTCAGCCGCAGGTGAAGTGGCCCAAAGTCGAGGAGGCACCAGCGCCAGTGCCGCCGCCGCCGCCACAATCCCAGTCGGAGCTGATGAAACGGTCACTGGACTCGGCGCCTCCCAAGCGGAAGAATATCACTTGCAGCTCACCGCCGCCCTTGGCGCCCATAACCCAAACAGTCGTGGCTGCGGTGCCTCCGGTACCTCCACCACAACCAAAAAATCCTCCGATGGACTTTGAGGTTGTGGCGCAGAGTCGCAAGAATTTGCATCAGGCACTGAAAAGGGCCAGAAAGACGAAGCAGCAACCTCGTTTGTTTGACGAAGAGGAGGATATGGAGATCACCAGTTTGGAGAACAGTCGCAAGAACAAGACCAGCGAGGGCAGGAAGACACCGCCATCGCTGGAGCTTACAAATGCTGCCACCAATCAGGCAGCCAATGCTGTGGCCAAGAAATCCATGCCACAAATGCCTAGTCAGGGGACGGCGAAAAACAATTCCGTGAAGACAAGAAACACGAGCAGGAAATCATCGCCAACGCCCACAACCAATACACAGCCGCAGCCAGCGATTTCGCCGTCCGGCAGCTCCGATGATTCCAGTGCTGAACTACAGCAGGAGCAGCAAAGGCTCTTCGCATCCGCCGCCCAGTGGCGCGATGAGCCGCGCGAGAGCCGCACCCTGCCGGCGGAGTACGGCCAGGAGACGTTCCTCGGCCTCTTTGGTCTCTACACGCCGGAAGTGGTCAAGAAGCTCAATCAACGCCACTCGAAGCGCAAGCGTCGCACTGTTCAGAATGCTAGCGGTGTGGATTTCCACTATGGCCAGCAGTTGAATACCGTGGACTCGTTGGTCCTGGGCGTTCGTGGTCACAAGAAAGCCAAGGAGAAGTCCGAATTCCTGCTGTCGCCGAATGAGAAGCGTCTGCAGGCCAACTCGAAGAGGACGTACACACGCAAGAGCAAAACGCCGGACAAGGTTACGGAAAAGAGCGGCTCAGCCGGAGGCTCTGGCCCGTCGGGAAATGCGGTCTCGGCCTGTCAGCATGGAGATGGCGGTGCCTCCAAGTGCCGAAAGTGCCGCGAATGCAGGGAATGCAAACGGCGTGTGGGTGAGTCACCAATTTAGATTTTTATGAGCCACCGATGACGTCAATCTTTTGGGTAGCATGATCCACTTGTTTGTCTGAGTTAGGTTTCTTGAATTTGTGCTTTTTTTTAATGCTTGAGATCTTCGGTTAACAATGAATTGCCCATTTTGTTTTTATTTATTGTAATTCCTTTCTTCTCGCTTATTTTTCAGAGCCCGAAGCGATGTACTGCCACTTATGCAGTGGATTTTACCACATGGACTGCCATGAGGCCACCAAAAATCGTCAGCAGATGCAGCTGCAGAACTCTCGCTGTCCGCCATGCTTGCGGGAGCAAGATAAATTGCCGAAGTAGCGTGATACGAAGTAAACAGGATGTTGATACCATTTTTTTGTCAGGTTTTCACAAAGGAATGTGAATTCTTGGATGAACTAGTTGCCTCCTCAGTCCATTGGACATGGGCATTTATTAGACGCCTCCCTTCGTTCCTTGTTGTGGCTCCGCCAGTTGAAAGCTCTACGTTCGGCCTATATTCATTTTTTTTTTCTATTTTTTGAGCAAGGGCGAGGGATAATATTGAATTTACATTTTTTTCCTACACTTTCACTTTAAAGTAAAACCTTAGTTAAGTTAGTATGTGCATGTGCATACGCAAAAGTGATTTAATTAAATATATGAATATTATATTGTTTCTTTCTGAGAATAATCGAGCATGTGGCTTTTCTTTGTCTGTTTTACTGATAGCAGATTGACCCGAACTGGGGATCTATGCCTTATCTCGTTTGTAGGGCATAGGTCCCTTTGTTCGACATGGTTTTTGTTCCCTGAGTGAAGCATCCGTGGGCCCAACGACTGAGAAATTTAATTTAATCAATGCCAAGGGTTGCGCAGATCTTTACGCTGTGATAAAATGCCCAAGACAACTGGTATAACATCTAAAACGTAGCAAGAACATTTGGTTTTAAATATTAACAAAAAGTAGTTTGTATTTCTTAAACAATGGATATTGCATTTCGTGGTGATGAGTATTGAAAACTGTATATACATTTCCGGCAAAAAGCACAGAAACCAGTCTAGTTTCGGATGCGCTGGAGCAGCCAGGCGAGCAGCGGCAGGATGGAGATTAGGATCATCGGAGGTGCACTGGACCAGCTCCTCGTGCCGTTGCACAGGTCGCCCTGGCAGAAGCACATGTACACCTTCTTGTAATTGTAGATGGTGTCCGCACAGCGGTCCATGTTGTCATCAGGGCCGCGCTGCACGCACATCCGCTGGGTGGCCAGGTCGTAGTCGTCGATGGCATAGGCGCCGCCGCCCTCGATCACCTTGCCGCACCAGCCGCTGGCGCACGGCTCCTGCTTCACATCCGTCGCATTGGTGGTGAAGGGGTCCTTGCAGCTGCCCAATTCTCCGCGGGATCGGCACAGATAGCAGCGGCGCAGGAGGCCTACAATTTGAAGTTACAAAAATATTTACAGCACGGTTAAGTGGGCCTTTAAATCTAAAAGTTAACTTACATTTTAAATTATGCACATATAAAATATAAAAAAAAGGAACGGAAAAATGTAATTGATTTTGGCCGTTTTCCCCCATGTAAAAATCGATTAAGATCACACACACACCACATATGCAACTTAAACAAAAGACTTTAACGAGAACACGAACTCACCATCGATTGACACCAGACTAATGAGGAAAATCACAGTTAGAAAAAGGCTAGTAGGTTGCATGGTCCCGTTTTCTTATTTTGGCTACTTACTAATCAATAATGATAATAACGAATAATGCTAAAAATATAAAAATGTTAAGATCAAGGAAGATCAATCGTGAATTAGTGTTACCAGGCGTAGGAATTGCAATTGACCAAAATAGTAAAAAGCTTTTATAGAATTATTTATTTGAATATAGCAATTATTATTTTATTTAAAATATTTGTTTCCTAGGCTGTGTCTACATACTGCACTTCAAAATTAATTGTTCATGAGAGTTAATTATATAAATTATATAATTCTTAGATTATTTTAAAGATACAAATATTCATACTAAATTGTTATCGATAACAGATTTTAAAATACTATACGATTGTACATTATTTATCGATAGTATTGCAAGTATATAAGTTGTATACGGTTTTGGCCAAAATTGTGTTTGCGCATCTGTTGGAAATCTTCAAAAAGTTCAAAACAAAGCGACATCTATGAGAAGCGTCAAATCATTACTAAAATGATTAAGTTTTTAATCATTGCTATTCGTTATTCGTAGTGAATTAACGGGTATCTGGCAGTGAGTACCTCCACTAAAGCGTTCCATCTCGGTATCACAGTTTCATGGACCACTGAAATAAACGGAAAATTGTTATAAAAGGGGTAAAGAAGCAGTATTTTCCGCACCTGCTAGTGCAGTGTGGCCATACCCGGCTGGCTATTGGTATCGGTATTTTTTGCAGTATTTTTGCACGAATTATTGGTGCGAAAGGAAAACCAAAGCAAAGCAGAAATAAAGAAGAAGAGCAGCGAAGAGGAGAGGCAGTCAGATTAGACGACGCAACGGCGCTGAAAAAACTCCAGTGGAAACGCACACAGACGCGGCTCTTCTCCACATAAATACGCATTATATTATTTAAGTTTGCCTTGTTCAATTGGAGCGATCGAAAGGCTGTCCAGCGGAGAGGACGTGCGTGAAAATCCAGGGCGCGAGTTTTCACCGGAGAGGAGAGTGAAGAGCGTGAGAAACTGCGTACGTACGAAACGGGAAAAAAGTGGGCAATCAAATGGAGGAAAGAAAGAAAGAAAATAGAGCGAGTAAGAGAAAGAGTGAGGGGAAGAGAAAATTTTGCGAATTTGTCAGCAGCTGTGCGTCGTAACTAAAGCAACAAAATAGCAAGTGAGAGTGGGTGGGTGAGAGCGCGGAGACAAATGCACAGGGTATTAAACAAAAATAATACAAGTGTGCAGCCTTGCAGTAAAATTATTTAAATAGACTGCTAAATCATATGCAGCCGACACCTGGCAGCCGTCTCGCTCTGTCGCGCATGTGTTTGTTTTTGTTTGCCAACTGTTTCTCATCCACCTCCCCCTCTCACACTCTGTTGCAGCGCCAGCACATCCAGAATCCCAATTGGACCCAGCCAGGAGTGGAGAGCGTTCCAATAGGAGTACCGCAGCTGCAGCCCCCGCAACAGCAACAACAACAACATGGCACTGGACAGTGGGACGCAAACGAATGCGCTGACATCATCCTTTACCACGAAGAAAAAGGATGCGGCCGCGGAAAAGGAGAACCTATGGTGAGTGTAATTGCAGTAGTAGCAAGTAAATCCTCAAGTAAGCAACCCCAAAAGGCAACACTACCCCAATTGAAACCCCAGAATCAATAAACTAACAGCAATATATGCGTAATTCCTCGAAATGCAAACGCCAACAAACCCTGGAACCCTGGAAGATGTACGATCAGTAACTTTAGAACAGAAACATTAGAACAAATGAATAGGTAGTTAGGTAGGAATAGGGAAAATATGTTATTTGAACCATTAGAGTAACAATACTCAGAGGATTCAATGTGCATAAAACTCAGGGCATATACCTCATTTAATTACAGTATGACTTCAACAAATCAGATGTATTTTTAAAATTTCCTAAGGAAACTTAAATTTGCAAAGTGCAACACAATTTTACCTCACAAGAGAGAAGCTGGGAAGATAAACAAAAGAAGTGCAGAGAGGCGCTCCATATTTCTCTTCAATTTGTTGATAACTTTCTTAAAATGACGTTGGCTAGCTGCTTTTCGCCACCACTACTACCATAACTATAACTTGTGCCCACGGTTGGTAACTAATACTGCTCAATTATCAATTTTGTCTTATAGTTTGTAATTTGCTTTCCGATAGCCGGCAACTCCCAGTTTTTTTTTTCTGGAGCCGCAAACCAGCTGATTTCGTTGGCATGTTGTCATTTCTTTTTCTACCAACATTTCTCTACTTAACCTCAAATGTTGCACAAAGATTGGCAAGCTTTGGCGAAAATAAATTAATAAACAAAATGCGTGAATAAGTAGTATTACAAATATACGGGAAAGACAGCGGTGGGCGAGATAAAGAGGTACACAAAGAAAAACAGAGAGGAAAATGAAGGAAGAGAGGGCGAAAAGAGCAACAATGTGCGGCGATGATTCATGAATTCACTAAACAACAAGAAAAAGCAACAAATCGAGGGCAGCGTTTACCATTTTTTTCGCTTTATCAATTTTTCTACACTCATACCTATAAATAAAGCCCAGCTTAATGGGCCGTCCCCCAATAAGACTGATTCCAATTGGAACCCAAACATGGCTCTAAGATGTGCGTGTGTTGGTTTCCGCTGGTGTGTGTGTGTGAGAGTGCAAACGATGTTGTCATCACCTGAATATGTCGTTTGGCTTAAACTACACTAGTTAACATAATTTACCTGTAAACCACCGAATAACTGTAGTCCAAGAAATCAATTGAGATTATTTTACAAATTTGAATCATTTAAATTATAGGATTCAAATTGAATTGCACTGATATCAGTAGTAGCATTGTATTCTGACTTTTTTTGAATACCTTAACATTCCATTGGAAAGTCCAAGCTTGCAGCATAGTGTCTTGAAACTCTAAGAACTTGAAATAGTCATCATTGTTTATGTTTTGGGGCATTAATCAGTTTTTGCTTACAAATCACTTGTCATATAAACATCAATGTTTTAGTTGGCAATGACGCTATAAAGAGCATACCATTATCACAGGGGAATCTCTAATTCAAAGAAATAGCTGAACTATTTCGAAACATTTTTATTGGCTTTGATAATTCGTTTTAAGATATTTATCGAATATTGATGCAAACCACATAGAAACACTATAAACTATTAAACGAACTGCTACTACATTTCTTCGATAAATACATCGTTATCATCTTCGTTGTCGGCATTTTGGGGCAACAATGCCTGCGATTGCTGCTGCCTATCAAAGTTGTTTTGGATGCGTTCCAGCAAATCGGTGGCCACCAGTGCGAAATCCTCCCACAAGGCGTCGTGCGCTTCCGCATCCGTTTCCGTCGCATCCAAATCCTCCGATTCCCGTTCCTGATCATCTTCGTCATTATCGTTATCGTCATCGCCGGGTGATAATCGATCCTCATCGAGATAATCGGCCAGCAGATCACTGACTTCATCGAGTATATTACCGCTCTGGCAGAGATTAGCCGCACAATGGCCGTCGATGAGGAGATTCCAAAGGGCCTGGCAAACAATGTTGGCCAGAAACCAGTCCTCCTGCTCGAGGGATCCACGCAGCAGTAGCGACAGCAGTTCCGCTCCTCGCAGTTGCAGAAAAGGACCTCGCTGTTCGCCATCGCCCAAAAGGTTCACCAGGACACCGATGGCACAGGTGCGCAGCTCATAATCCTGGCCAGCTGCCTGTTTCGTCAGTTGCTGCACCATCAATGGCAATCCTCCGGCGGCACAGAAACAACGACGTGCTTGCTCGTTCCTTGTCAGGTTACCCAGCACACGGGCCAACTCCACTTTGGTCACCGACGTCTGGCAGTTGCCCAATACTTTGGCCAACGAGGCGGACAAGTCGTCAATCAGACTCTGCAGAGATCCCTTGGCCAAAGGCTGCACAGCTGCCTGTTTGTCCTGGTAGAAACACAGATTGTGCAGGGCTCCCAAGGTGGCGTGCAGAAGCTCCTGCTGTTCCGGCGACTAACCCGTGGATAAACCAGCAAAGATATCAATTTCTAGCACCAAAATTTGCACCAAAAACTCACCTTCTTCTTGGTCAACTCCTCGCTGGTCTTGCTCAACAGCTTCAGCAGCACGGCGCCCAACGAACGGACATTTCCCAAGCCTGCGCCCACCTCGGGATTCACGCTCATGTTGGCCACCACTCGTATCAACTTGATTTGAGCATCCAAATGAGCCACACTGCTGGGTGAGCGTTCGTTCAGCTGTTCCAGGACATTTAGAAGATACTCCATGGCCACATCGTTGTGAAAGTACTGAAAAGCAATACATAATCTCATAAGTAAAATGGGCAAATTACATTTTAATCTGAAGATATATTTAAATTGCCCTTGATTATTTTATAGTGACCTAATGTTGGTGAATACCCACCTGTATGCGCGCAGATTCGTGTTTGGCCAGTATATTGCCTAGCATGTAGCCCAAACGACTTAGAACCGCCAGGAGACGTTCACTGCACTGCCCACCGCCGGCACACGAAGGACCCAGGAGCAGGCCAATCCTGGCAGCATAGTTGTGCAGCGTTTCACAGCAATCGGAGTCCTCCGAAAGTACACTAAAAATGGCGATTATCGAAGCTCAGTTAAATCGTTCGATAGAAGGATAAAGTGAAACCCACCTGAGAGTGCGCACCACATTGGCCTGGACCTCCAGTTCGCCCATGGATACCTCGGCCGCTCGGATGAGATGTGGACATGCCAGTTGCAATTGGAGCTGCAAACGCTGCTGTTGCTGGGAAACATCTGCCAGAGCTCTCATGGCCGCCGACAGTTGATAGAGTGTGTGTAGCGGCGGACCCTGGAGCCGTTTGGTGGCTCCAGCCTCATTCAACATCTGCAGGTGCAAGATCATCAGCTCCACGGCGCCATGACGAGCCAGGCGGGACACTAACGTTTGCTGACCCGTCAATTTCCTGGGACAAAGCGAAGTTGAGATGGCCGATAGAGCAGGAGGCATTAGAGCAGGAATCGGCAGCGAGTGACTCTCGCCGGTGCTCTCTAAACCAATCCAATTGCGGTTGAGGGCATCATCCCGCTCCTGGGCACTGCTGGCGGTCAGAAAACGTATGCAACCATAGGCATAAAT